GGGGGCTGAATTTGAAATCTTTGCGGGGAAAATAGCCGCAGAATTTCAGCTTTCTAACATTTCTGGCTCCCGAGTTAGCAGTTTTCTCGCCAAAACTTTCACGCGCTCGTATGCGGGCCTAGAATTGCGCGAGGGTTGATATCACGGTTTCGGGGTAGCACTTGGCTGGAAACCCACTAGCAAAATTTTGGCACCGGAGCTTGCTTAATTGCCCGATTGAAATATCCGGACAGACGCACAAACACACGCATATACGCACAACGGGGTCGTCACAATATGCGTTTTTGCACATGCATGTGCAAAAACGCATGATAAGGCTGACCATCTTTGAACCCTTCGCCATTACAAGACTAAAAATAAAGCTGACCATTTTTGAACACATCGTCGTTACGGGTACCTAAAAAGTGGGTGACTGTGTGAGCGTGTGAATGCGTACGCGTATATATCTCGGTCTGTGAATGGGTCTTTGCTTGTTTTTGTGCATGTCTGTGTGTGAAACCAGACATCAAATACATACGTATACGGACGTAGACATACATATAAGACGCTTTGTTTCTCTTTTTCCTTTTGCTGGCTGATGATTAATTTGCTTTGCACAGCCAAGACAAACACATACGTGGTTACTATTATAGTTTCGATAATCAGCAGCGGAACTATTTCGGAACACAATAATACGGATTACTTCGTCATCAGCAACGGTTTGTCAGAGCTGAGCATATGGCTGATTTTTTCAGGAGCGAGTAACTCAGCCACTTCCTTCAATGATTACGGCACTTGGGATGTCAAGCAAGAATGACATCTATGGCACATTGAAGTCCATATAACTTCAGAAACTCGTACATCCAGTTCTGAGTGTCATTCATAATCTCTGAGTTCACTCTAATCACAACACACATACAGTCCAGGTAGCGATGCTCCAGGCTTGCCGGAGTGATCATCTGTTTTTGTGTTAAACTTGAAGCAATCAGATCTTCAATAGTATAAGCGTTCATTGCTTTAAAGCCATGTGCATTCTTGTTGGCAGTTATGGTCTTTTCCTTCATGCAGGAGCAAAAACGCGTTGAATAGGATGACACTTTCATTAGACAGCGTGAAATCTCGACCTCCAGCATGCGTGATTATCGTAAATTTCGCACGAAAGAAAATGAAAAACCTGTTGTTACCGGTCGTTACTTGAAGACGCAAATCCAGGCTGGAACGCACCAGACAGGTTGGTGCGATTATGCGTTTTGGATAAAGTTTAAAGTAATTACGTTAACTACATGAATGGTTGTTTCTTCGCACCTGCTTTGAGCGTTCAATACCGTAAATCATGATAAATTTTGCATAAACGGAAGTAAACAATTCCCATTTAGCGGTACTTTTTATGCGTTTTTGCATATATGTAAATTGCAAAAATTGGCCAACGCACGGGCTGCCCGTGCGAA